TTGTCACCTGCTGACAGCAGGCTGCTGTCTTTTTTGAAGAATGCATCTTGCCGGTCATTATCACGTGACAGCGACTAGTCGATGACAGGTATAAAAAGTCACTATAGTGAAGTCGACTAGTTCATACAACCCCTACTGCTCCCCAGAGTGTTCTGCAGCATAATCAGCATGTTCTCTTTGAACTTGATGTCAAATTTTCGCCTCCTCTTCGTCTCCGCACCTGCCATGGTTAAAGTTACCCTCGCGGTCTGTCACTGGCAAATCAAAAGTGAGACGAATGACACAACCGCCCCCCTGTGGTACTTGCTTGTTACCACATTCCACCCGGCCACAATAAAAAACCCGGCCATTATTCACCTCCGCCGACTCCGACCAAAATGTGATACCCGGCCATTAATTTAATACAGGCCAATATTAGAGGATTTACAGTATTTCAATGTCTTCTACACCCCTTAAAAATAGCGAATAGGTTACAATTAGATATGGACTCAGTAATATTTTTTTCATTTTTACTTATAGGTGCTTTGATAGCACCAGCTAATAATGGTCCAACTTCAACAAAATAACGATTGAAAGCATTGGCAATTTCCTTTATCATTTATTTCATGATCTTCTTTGATGAAATAGCTTGGGAGTGCATTTACTTTTTTCCATTTCTAATTATACCATTTAATATCTTCCACATTCCTTGTGTATTATTCTGGTGTTGTTCTAATAATTAATGATACAAAAATGTCTATTCATGCGTATTATATTTATTAATTTATTTTGATATGTTTTATATCTTTCTTCAGCACTTTTAGCTCTTTGTTTTAAATATATTCTGTAAAGATGATTTTTCTTCTTACAAGCCTTAACTATGCCATATGTTATCCAGGGCTTTTTTATTTTAATTTTATTTTCAGTAATATATAGCTTCAATGGGCAGTGTTTATCATAGAGTTTGGTTACTTTGGATAAGAAGGCATCATATGCTAGGCTGGGGTCCTCAGTACAAAAAACTTCATCCTGCGTCTGAGCAGAAAGATCTGCCCTGTATGCAGCCAGGGCTTCGGGTGTTCTATGTTGAACCAATTTCTGTGTAATCGTTTCAGGATTTTGAGCATAATGTACTATTTGATGAAAAACACTAAATACCGGTAGATGGTCACTTATATCATTGACTAGTAATCCCGCTATAATTTGTCTGGATATCTCATTAGTGAATACAGTGTCGATCAAAGTGGCAGTTGTAGTTGTAATTCGAGTAGGTTTAAAGATAAGAATCAGAATCAGAATCAGAATCAGAAGTTTTTATTGCCATATGTGTGCCAAGTCACAACATTAGGAAATTGCTGCGGTATTTTGGTGCAGAAGGTAAGATAGAAAAAAAAATTAATTAAGAGATAAATAAGAACTAATAAAACACTCATGATAAAATTATTAATGTAAAAAGTGGCAAGAATTAGAGAAGCAGCTATCTACTCCGTGTAGGAATTTATCTGAGTGTTTGTTGAATGGTTCAAGCACAGCATCGGGTCACGTGACTGGAACCAATCAACTTGAGTGGGCTGCCCTAGGATGTTCATTAAAAAGTCCAACTGCAGAGGGGAAGAAACTGTTTTTGTGGCGAGAGGTTCTGGTCCGAATGGATCTGAGCCTTCTGCCAGATGGGAGCGAGTCGAAGAGACTGTGTCCAGGGTAAGACGAGTCAGGTGGGAGAAGGTTATTGCTGTACATTGTTGTAATAAAATTAGATATTTGTAAGTTATCATGAGGGTTAAGAAGGTCAATGTTAAAGTCATCACATACTATATGAACCTTGTTTAAATTTACAAACAAGCTACCGACTTCCTGATTAAAAGTATTTAGACAGGATCCAGGTGTTCTATACAAACAACTAACAGTGATGGGTTTAGTTCCTTCAATAGCAATTTCAACACTGATGCACTTCAAAACCCCATCAATAATAATTGTATTTTTGTCAGATGACTTACACCTCAGGTTTATATCCACATACAGTGCAACCCCACCGCCCTTTTTCTTGTTCCTGTTTAAAGTAAATAATTCATATCCCTCGATTTCCACATAGGAACCCTTTTCATTGTCCAGCCACGTCTCTGAGACAGCAATAACAGAAAAATTTTGTAAGTGACTCAGATATTCTTTAACCTTATCATAGTTTTTATGCAAACTTCTACAATTGAAATGAATGACAGAGAAGGCTCCCACCATATTTATCTCTTTAAACTCCTCATCACTATAGTATTTACAATCATTCAATGGCTCTTTATTAAAATTACCAAAATCTAAATTGCTTCAAAAATCATTCATTTTGTGGTGCAAAGAGTCATAAACATTTTGAAGTTGTTTACCATGGAGTAAATAAGTGTCCTCCTAATAGTCAGAATCGGTAAGTAGTTTGTCTTCATTTCAACTGATTGTAATTACCAACCAAGTCCCAGTCATTAATCTCGAGATTTTTCTGTAATTATTAGTGCCATTTAAATTGCTCAAGAGCTTTAAGATCTCTTACCATAACTACTTTAGCTTGTTCGGGTGTGATCCCCTTCAGTTGGATGTAAACCTTGCAATTCCTCGTCCAGGTCGTCTTTATCTTGTTGTTCTTCCTCAGGTTGCGGGCTTCATGTGCAATTTTGGCTGTTTTCTGCGTAAGATGCACATTCAAGTACACCTCAGAACCCTTCAACTTCTTCCCTTGCCTCATCAGTTCCATTTTACGTTTCCTGTTTACAAGCTTCAAAACAATGGCAGGTTTGGACTTATCTTTCCTCGGAAGAGTATAGCAGGCAGCAATATTCCCAGCATCCAGATGCATATTCTTCCCAGCCAAGAAACGCACCACTTGCCCTTCCAATGACTGTGTGTCCTCTGTATCGGCATCTTCGTCAATTTTTCTCCCTCCTGCTGCGGCTCTTGCGTATGAGCGAGGTTTAACACTCATCCCAGTAATTGTCACGTCCTCCATTCGCGTATACTGCTCCAGGTTATCAATCCGTTTTCAAGTTCTTCAATGGTCTTGTCCCGTTCAATTATGGTCTTCTTTAGTAGCTTTACTTTCTCAAAAAGTTCTGTGAGCTTAAGCAGCTGTTGCGTTACCTTAGCCAGCTCCTCAGACATGCTGTTTATTGACTAACAGGTGTCCTCCATATTGTATTCCGTCTGCAATACTCTCTTGGGTGGCATCTTTTCTCTTTCAGTGTTGTATTGTTTAATTTTGTTTCCTAACTCCTCTGTGAGGAAAAAAAGTTCCCCTTGAAGAGACAGAAAGGAGACAGAAAAGCAACGCTCTCACAGGGTGCCGCCATCTTGGGAAAATGTCAAATAATCTAATTAAAGTTATTCAATACAATAGTTAGCACTAGGGGCTGCATGACTTAATTTTTTTTAAAGTCGACAGTCAAGTAATGAAAATCGAGTCGACTTTGACTAGTCGTTGATGACGTCATGCACCTGAAGCGGTGCGGGGGGGGGTGTTTCGCTGGAGTTTTTGACAATTAAAATTACGCCTGCATTTTCAAAGTTAAACACATCTCTTTTAACAACGGCAGTTTCTGCATCTTTACTGTTGCCCTGCTTCAGCACCCCCCCCCCCCCCCCCCGCACAGCGGCCGCAAACTCACTGATGTGCCTGCAGCCTCTGAGTTCCTGCTGCTCTAAACATTAAAATAATTATTTCATTTTCTGTTCCTCACATCTGATTACCTTCAATGGTGTCTGTTTGTTGCAACCACCAGGTACAAAAACTAACCTGTTTTTATTTGACTATTTTTCTGTCCTGTCTGTTTATTATCTTCCTGCATCTCCTCTCAATCCTAAAGAGAAACTGCTACCTGGCTTCATATATATTCACCTCATGAGTTACCTTTGAACTGCAGTTCTAAAAGATCTACCGACCGCAAAAACAGAGGAGTGAGCGCCGGCCACATCAGTGAGGTGAAAACACAGGAGGAAAAAACAGGTGATGCGCTCCGCTCCACAGCAGCGAAACGCATCAGACACAAATAAAAGACAGAAAAACATAAAAGGAAATGAGCCGACATGAACGATCGCGTGTTAAATTAGTTTTTCAGGTGGCGACACCTAATTTGATAATGTTACTGTGGCCGTGCACAGGACGCAGATGTCTGGAGCGCGTCAACGATCAGAGCTTTGCATGCGCAAGCTGGTTAAGGTTAGGATGGGGGTGAGGGGAAGGTTAAATTGTAATAGGGTAAAGGTCAAAATTCAGTCAAATGTCCGTTTTACGGCGGCTGTCAGTACTGACGCTCCGGCACAGCTCGTCGCCTCCCGACGCGCAGGGGCTCATCACCTGCTGTCTTTTCCGAGGACTGCATCTTGTCAGTCATTATCATGTGACAGCGACTAGTTGATGACAGCCATAAAAAGTCACTACAGAGCAGTGAAGTCAACTAGTTCATACAACCTCTAGTTAGCACTGACTGAAGCTTCTATGGAAGACTCTTCATATCTTCTTTCTGCAGCTCTTTTTACATGTCACAATTCCACTAAAACAACAGGCAGCCGTGAAACAGTTTGACATGAATCCTAATTAGACTAACGTGTATTTGGTTCCATTTATGACTGAAACAACAGCTGATGAAACTAGATGTAACAGCTTAGGCTGTTCCAAACTCTAAACCTGGATGTTGGTTCAGCCTGGCGTTGCCAGTAGTTTGGATTCTGACCAGTCTGATGACTTTCTAACCGTGGCGTTCCCTCACTGAGATCGATAGCAAGCACACGTGACTGTCAGAGGAACTGCTGTGCAGACAATCAGAATGTTGATATTGGATTCCCGCACGGTGGGAATAGCACCAGATGAGATGGAAAGATGGAAATTCCCCGGGCTGTTCTCGGGTCCTGTGAGAATATGGTAAACTTGTGTTTTCTTTTCTCTGTGTTTTTCCAAACTGCTGAACGTGTCGAAATGAGATGTGTTTTCAGGAAATGGAATTTTAATGCTTTTATCTTATTTGACCTTTTCCATATTTTCAAAGAATGAATGGACTGAAGCAGTGGACGTGGGTGGCTGCAATGGCACTCCTGGTGCTGACGGCGATGGCCGCCGAAGGAGGAAAAGCAGACAAACAAGGTGACGGTCATAAACAGTGTGCCTGTCTCTTATTCAAATAAGCAATTTGCACACCAAAAAAATCTATATAGAAACATGAAGTGTTATGCACCTTTCTAAAACTAGAAATACAGAAAGTGTTTTTAAAACCAGTAATTGGTCTCTTGTGAGACTTTACCAGAAACATTAAATCCTTATTTTGCAAAAAGAAAAGTCAAAAAAGGAGAGAAAAGTAAGTTGTTGTGTCCCATTGGGTAAATAACAACAAAAACAAATGCACTGGAGAGAAAAAAGGTTATTTGCATTGGAAATTAGTGCAATAAACCAATTACAAATGTTCAAAAGGAGGTAGATAAAGTTATGAGACAGAGTAGTTGTTTTCCTTTTCTTGTTTTAATATTAAAACTATAGATGTAGACAATGAACGTTTCGATACCGACACAAAAAACAGCCTAGATCTACATTTTATTGTTTAATATCTTTAAAATATGATTGAAACTAACATTTTGTTGCATTTTTCATCTTAAAGTCTAAAACTTTTGGATTCTTGTCTCTTTCTAAGATCTTTTAAACTTCTTGACTGATTTGCAGGAAAGAAAGAGCGTAAATCTGACTGTGGGGACTGGCAGTGGAGCGTGTGCGTGCCCAACGAGGGCGACTGTGGACTCGGCACCAGGGAGGGAACCCGGACCGGCACCGACTGCAAACAGACCATCAAAACACAACGCTGCAAGATCCCATGCAACTGGAAAAAGAAGTTTGGAGGTAAACACATGTATTAAGAGACAGGTTTGGATGAATAGTTGCAAAGGAAATAACTCCTGTAGAAATGCGTCACCTTTCTGTGGCATAACCATCGACACATACATATATGGACAATGGGTTTCCATAGACTCCAATAACACGTTTTGGAAGAGAAATGGGAGGTGGCCACCACCACCATTTTGACCGTGTCACAGGTTCCGTCAAGCCCAGACAATTCCACAAAAGGGAAGAGAGGTGGAGCTGAGGGTGGGGCTGTAAGGCTGGGATCAACTGACGACACCCGGTCGAACTAGCTACAAGCTAACCTGAAGCTAACCCAAAGCTAACGCGGAGGTGGGAGCTAAGCTAACGGAGGTAGCAACCTATAGCTACAACCGGAGTTAACTGTGCACAACACCAGAGCTTCTGAGTCAGAGATACGCCGGGCTGACCGCTGGGTAAAACCGGGTGGAACACAGAGGTCTCCGAGAGCTCCACAAGCCGGTAGCCGCACAGCAGACAAGCGCCGCTGCGATCTGAGATGCGCAGAGCTGCCGCTGGGGTTGCCAACCGTCCCTTGAAAAACGGAATCGTCCCGTATTTAGAAACACAAGTGCACGTCCCGTATTGAACTCAAAAGGGACACACTTTGTCCCGTAATATAGTATGGATCAAAATTAGTCTGTAGTCTATTACCGGAATTAACGCTTTGTTTGAAAGCCAGCCCTTCGCCTGCTCTGTGACCAATGAACTGGCCGCATGCTTATACACGAATATGACGATACAGATTACCGCTTATTTCATTGGTCGAGGAACGGTCGCTTGGGGAGAAGATACCGGAAGAAAACAGACGACAGCAAACAGCACGGCCAACCGGGAAACTAACGCCGACACTGCTGTACAAGTCTCGGACGACAGTACCCCTCCGAGAAAGAAGAAAAAAGGCTTCAAAAATACAGGGAGGAATGGGAAAAGGAAAATTCCTGGCTGGAAAAACTGCGCGATAACACCTATAAAGTGCACTGCACCATGTACCGGCGCAGTTTTTCCAAAGGGCATGGTGGACTCACTGACCTCAAGCAACATGCGTCTAGTAGTAGCCACATGAAAAACATAAAGGACGTGAAATTACGGGGAACCCTCGATCAGTTTGTCGTCCACAAGGCCACGGCAGAAGCAGATATGGTAAGTAAACATTGCTTTTTTAAACCCTCTGGTTAAAGTGAAGGTATTTATATGAAGAAAAAAAAACCCACTGTGTTGGGGCTTGTTTACTATTATTTTTATTATTTTTGTTGTCTGTTTCTGTTTTGTCATTAGTTTTTCTATTTTTTTTAACTTGGGTGTTTAGTTTCGATGTAGCCTTGTCTTGGTTTATATGTTGTTTGGATAATTTTAAACTAAAAGGATGGATAAATACATAATAAATAAAGTGAACTATTGTATTGTATAAAAGCTATACAATGTAATAAATATACAATAAATGTTTTCCATTTATTTACCACTGTAAGTGTTCTATGTGGTGCTTATAACCCAGGTTTACTTCTTATCTCCATTGGCAGGTTAAACATCTCTATGGATGAGCTTTATGACGAGTGTGTCACTGCAACCGGCCTTCTGGAGCCCCTCACCAAAGGACCTCAGGAGAAGGAAAAGTGGCAGTCCAAGGGAACAGCAGAGAAGTGTATAGAAATTCTTCAGGCAGCTGACCTCTCCAACATCCAGCCTGTTGTATCGTTTGTACTCAGCATCCCATCTTCCACTGGATTGGCAGAGAGGATTTTCTCTCTCATGAAGAATAAGTGGACTGATGTGCGGAACAAATGTTCTACTGAAATAATTAGATGTGAGCTCATTGTCACTCTAAATTGTGACATGTTTTGCTCAGAGTTTTACTCTGCAGTACTGAAAGACAACTCCTAAATGCAGCAAGATCTCAAAAGAAATACAAATGGAGAAAATAGTCTGTTTTCACATAATGTAGCATTGAGCTTTTGAGTTCATGAGTTTGGACTTTTTTTTTTTACTTCAACCGTAGGCTACAGTCAAGGCCTTTGAGGCACAAATATGTTTACAGCTTCTCCACAGACTTTCTGTTTGCACTTTTCTAATTGCACTCAATGTGCAGTTACAGCGTTGCTCTTTCTGTTGTTTTCTATTAATTTATACAATTTTAAGTTAAGCAGAACAGAGTTGTTTTAAAGAGAGTTATTTATATTCTAAAAAGTAAAGCATAACAGGCTACCGTTTAAGAAAGAGACCTACTTTTTTTTTGTCATTTTGCACAAAAAGTTAAGCATAACAGTTTTCTGTTTAAGAAAAATACCTTTGTTACTTATAATAATTTTGTAATTTCACGCCATAAATAAATGGCTAAATGATCATTTGTTTCCCATGTTTTCATATCACAAAGAATATGCATCTTCTTAAACCAACTTCAAGTCAAATAGTAAAAACAAAAAATCCTTTCACACCCACACACAAAAAAAGAGCAAAAAATCACCACGCTGGGAAGGGTGGCCTGGAGCGGCCGGCCCTGCCCGCGAGGTGTCCCTTATTTATTTTTCAGGGAGTTGGCAACCCTAGCTGCCGCTGGGGAGAACCGGGTGGAAAGGTTTCCATCCCAGAGCTCCACAAGCCGGAAGCCCGCGCAGCAGACAGAAGCCGCGATCAGACAGAGATGGTCTAAGTTGAGGGACTGAAACTGACTGGACAGTTCTCCGGCGAGGCCGAGGCTCTACTGAGGCCTTTCCACGGAGCTAGCTCTGTGGTCACGTGGGTCTGATGCTCATTAATTATACAGAATTTTAGACTTTTAATTCACTTAAACAGAAGAGTGAGAAAAAAATTCACCCCCCTCAGAGTTGTCATGAGTGTAAACTAGATCATTTAAATAAAAAACATGTTCTGGTACCAGGCTGTAAACATGTTTATTTCTGCTGTGAAATTGGTATTTTTAACATGGGAGTCAATGAGGATTTGCTCGCTTCTGACACCAGCCCCTAGTGGATGAGGGTGGAACTGCAATTTATTTCATTTCCGCGTTTGCTTCAATTTCTGAGCCGCATTGTGGGGGCTTGGGCATAACTTATTCATAACCACTAAAACACTCATGTAGAAATGTTGGAAGTGATTCAGATGATCTCTGCTGAGAAACGATTTAAAATGATGGAAAACAATTCATTGCAGCAGGTGTATTTTTTCATGTGTAAGAAGCGTCACCATAAGTATTATTCCTCCAAGTCTGAACTAAATTTGTCAAAACAGAGCGTCACATTTGTGCTGGTATTTTAAAAACCTAACAGGTGCGACATGACGACTGGGCTCAGGAAGAGGTGTGAGGTCCGGCGAGATCTCACCGTAAGATACACTCTAGTCTGCGTTTTTTTTTTCAGGCTCGAGTGTGTGCAGCTTTTACAGCTAAAGTGTCGAGGAGTGACAAGCCTGAGGGACTTTTGTTCCCACGATAAGTCCTGTCAGACAGGGAGCCTGCTGCTTTCCAATGAGCCTGTCAGGAATGATGAACACAGCGCAGGCTGGCCCCCGCTATATGGATGTACAGATTATAGCTGCAAACTTTTCCTGTTTTATTTCTTTTTGAGAGGCAATAAGCTAAAAAACTTAAAATTGTGAGAAGTTACTTGAGAATGAAGAGAATAAACCAAACACAGCTCATTTTGGAAATTATTTGTGAAGATCCAGTGATTTCTTTTGAATATTTGGAATTGAATATTTGTCTAAAATCATGGCATTGTGATTACCTGTTCGGTCAGCACTCGACGGTTTCAGGAGAACGTTTGTGAAGTTGTGACTCATCATTTTGACAAAATATGTCCACTGACAGGCAAATTTATGCTTGCTAAGACACCCTGAATGGCCTCTGAGGGGGTTGCTGCTGCCGCAAGATGTACTGCGATGGGGCGACGGTGGCACAGGAGTTAAGTGCTCGCCCCGTAATCGGAAGGTTGCAGGTTCGAGCCCCGCTCGGTCTGTCACTGTCGTTGTGTCCTTGGGCGAGACACTTAACCCATGTTGCCTGCTGGTGGTGGTCGGAGGGACTGGTGGCCCCAGTGCTCGGCAGCCTCGCCTCTGTCAGTGCGCCCCACGGCAGCTGTGGCTACATCATAGCTCATCACCATCAGTGTGCGAATGTGTGTGTGAATGGGTGAATGACTGATTGTGTTGTAAAGCGCCTTGGGGGTTCCAGGACTCTAGAAGGTGCTATATAAAACACAAACACAAGCCAATTAGCATTTAGCATTTACTACAGTTAAACCGTCATAATAATACTGACTCACACATACACAGACACACACACACACACACACACACACACACACACACACACACACACACACACACACACAGACACACACACACAATTTGCATGCACGATGATCCTGAGACTTTCTTTAGATGTGCAGCTGCAGAGTAAAATGTCTTTTCTGATGAGATTCTTAGCTGTATATAAGGTTCAAATTATGGGGGAGCTAGGGGAGCCCGGCTCCCCCTAAGTCCTGGAATATACTTACTGTTTAACGACGCATACAGGTGTTTAAAATGGCTATCTCACGTAACTTGCGTTCATTTAAAGGGTCATTTGTGTGCGTCCTCCCAAATAAACAATGTGTTCAAACACTGTAATATAGGCGGCGTTAACAAAACGAAGGAGACACGCTCACCAATGCCCCTCCGTCTCTGGTCTTTCACACTGTCCACGATAAAGCTGCTGTTCTTTCTCTGCCGTGATCTCAGGTTTAACCAGTTACTGATCTCTTCTATTGATGCCATGGTTGTTTTGGTTGTACCCCACAAACCCGGCTCTCTATCCGGTCCGTGAACACTACAGTGGCCCCTGGCGGAACACTGCAGTAGTACCTGCAGTGCAGTGTGGTGCAGCAGCAAGTATGCGAACAAAGACGCAGCCTGCTGCCTGCATCAACGCGAGGTTAAAAAGTAAGTATTCCAGGCCTAAGGGTGATGGGATCCCCTCAATGCCCTCAACTGGCACCCCCAGGGGGAGCCTGAAAATGTCCCCCACGGCACCGTTCATACGTTTTTACAAAGACGGCGATGATGTTTTTGTGTTTTATTGTGGCACCCTGAGCAAAAACAGATTGCAACGTTGATTAGTCTGTAAACCAGAACGTCAGTTCTGTTTTAGTTCCAGTGGAGTTTTATAACCTAATGCCATCTTTTGTCTTTTATTACATTTTTGGATTTTTTTATTACTATTTGCCCAGCTCTGTTCACTCCCACAGATTTGTGCTTCTCTGCTCGTTCAGTGGGTGTCGTTTTACAGCTTTTACCCTAGTTAATTTTTTGTTGAGCAGCACTTTAAAGCAAAACATTCCAAAAAGCTTTCTAAATAGTACTGACACTGACAAAACTGACATTTTAAAGCTTACAAAAGCAAAAATCAGCATCAGGTCTAAAAATGTACATGTACACAGTTCTGCAGAGTCATTGTTTCTGAGCCAGCACAGCCCAAAATAAAGGAGCCCTTTTGGGACGCAGGTCACCAACACTCCAGTTAATGGCTCTGAAAGCATCAAATCAGAAAAAGTGTTGCAGCGTTACACTTCTAGCGTACAAAGTCCAAAGTCAGATGAGATCAGAGGGATAGAATTCCTCACTGGAATTTGTTTTACTGTGTTTTTCTCGTCTTTTCTGCTAAAAAAATGGTTTGGATGTCACAGCAAAGTCCATCTAGGATTATATCAATGAACTTGTGTATAGAGATAGTTCCCTGTTGTTCAATTTTCAAGCATCGATTTTTCATTTTTGAAAGACTTTTGAGTGGATTCGTACCTGAGAAAATTTGCAAAAAGAACCTCTGCAGTCATGCAACACACTGTGATGTGTCAATAAATGCATTAAATATTATTATGATTATTATTATTATTAAAAGATTATGTAAGATTTCAGGGACATAATTTGTATTTTTCGCACCAATATTTCACTCAAATCAGCTTGAATACTAAAGAAACATTTCTTCCATCCATCCATCCATCCATCCATCCTTTTCCATCCGCTTATCTGTGAAAAAATGTAGTTTTAAAGGGCTGTTACACCCAAAAGTGAAACGCCAACAGGCACATTTTTACTTTTGAGTGGAATTTAAAACACAAATACAAAATTAGGGAAATAAAAATCGACTAAAGACCAAAAGATTAATTAGCCTATAAATCACATAAAAATAAAAATAAATCACACTGAAAGGATGCAGAAAAACAAGGGTTAAAAAGAGTTTACACGCTAGGAAAAAGAATGAAGCACAAAGAACGAAGAAAGGGGCTGAAAGGATAAAGACACACAAGTGGGACAATCAAGATGTAACAATGGCTGTAACAGGACAAGGATGAGTTACAACATGCCCTTATCTCGTCTGGTAATTGGTGCGTCCTCGGTTTCTCCAAGGTGAGAAAAATCGAAGTAACAAGCATCGAACACATGAGCACCTCCGCTCAACGTTGTTCTATTTACTGTGCTGGCTGGGAAAAGTAATGACAGGAACGTGACTCACTCCATTTACTGCTGGTGCCAAAGAGCTCCTTCTTCTGGTCCAGGTGTATTCTAGGAACTGCCATTCCTTTAAAATTGCTGTGATCTGTGCACAAGTCTTGCATCATTGCTTATATTTTGCTTCCCAACTGCCAGACGCCCCTGTATTAAGATTCAAAGTGGTGATTATTGGTTTTTCAAGCTTTCTGAAGCTGCCGACGTCCAAAGAAAAACGTTCATAAGGACTTCAGAAAGTCTGGAGAAGAGCTGATTACGACTTTTGAAGTTAGACCAAGAAGGAAAAGTGTAAATTAGAGGTGGATAACGTCACATTGCACCAATTAAATACTGGTACAAAATGAATCCTCCATAGCGCTTTTGTCTCACAGATCAATGGCCAAGTTTGTTCACATAGTTCAAGATTTTATTATATGTGAAAAAGCAAAACTATTGCTCAAAAGCAACTGGTGATAAGAAGATTTGTGTAGAAATAACATTTCATACTTTCAGCTGTTGTGTAGTTATGCCATTCAGTTAAATTCAATTCAAGTTTATTTATAAAGCGCCAAATCACGACAAGAGTCGTCTCACATAATAAACATTCCAATACAGGTCAGTTCATTAAGCCAATCAGAAAAAGGTTTCCTATATAAGGAACCCAGCAGGTTGCATCAAGTCACTGACTAGAAGTGAGGCTTCAAAAGTGACTTAGTGAAAGTCTAAACAACGAGTGTTTAAAATTATAACTGATAGTTCAACGAGAACCAATGTCAAAAGAAATGCTGTAGCTGCTGCCAGTGCCTCATTAAGGTCACCATGGTAACCATGCACTTGTGCGTCTCACTTGCTTAGAGCAAAGTTAATTGGAGACAGGCAGGAAAACAGCTTCAGAAAGAAGATTCAGACAAACGTTGGTGCTTAAAGAGAAGATGTCTTAAAGAAATGATTGAAGACTAGTTGATGAACTTTGATGTGTCTCCATGCAGGAGATGCAGCCCGTTTTGCAATGACAATTTTCAGCTAGAAAATACTTTTGTTCTGGGAAACCCTGGGTGTGTCCTCTCTGCAGTCTGGGGATATTTGAGATGAAACCATGAATCATGAAGCAGTTAGAACATAAAGATATCTATGTTCGTATCTACAACTCATGATACAACAACTGATGTGGAGGGAAGACAGTTTTCCCAAAATAATTTAAGTTAAATAGTAGTTTGTAAACAAAGTAACATGTATTAAAATGATCTTTCAATCATGGAAAGTTACTTAAGTTTTGATTGATGCTTCTACTGTAAAGAAAAGCATACCAGAGCTCTAGAACTCCAAAGAAAGGAGGGATTCTCTCACCTTTCCCCAAAATCCAGATTTTTTAAAGGGAATTTTCAGTTTTCTAAAATGTGATCGCTGTATGATGGAATGCTAGCATAAGTCGAATTTACACTCATCTCCACTGAACTGCAAATGTCAATGTATAATTAACATCTGTGTTTTTTTGCTAGAGTCACTCTTGAACACACTTCCCTCTGCCATGACAAATACTGACTCATTTACATTATTCAAGGCACACCTCAAGTCACCTACTCAAGCAAGCCTATTCCCTTTAGACTCAGGCCTAGTCCACACGTAGCCGGGGTTTTTTGAAAACGAATATCCGCCCCTCCAAAAACTTGCATCCACACCACCTCGTTTAAAAACAAACTCTGTCCACACGTACCCGGATAAATACGTTGTTAAGGACATGCCAGACCTGTAGGTGGCAGTACTTCCCCCGTTCTTAACCTCGTCCTTCGTCTGTGGTCTTCCACAAGGAGCAGTAATTCCGCTTGCAAAAACAAACAAGCAAAAAACGCTTGGACAATTGATAAAGCGAGCGCAGCTCTGAGGGCATCCATGATGCCGGCTAGTGTAAACACAGGTCGCACACGTGATGTCAGCATTTTTTGTCGCGGAAAGTGACGTTGCGGACCTTAAAACTCCGGTTTTGTCCGTCCACACGCAGACACCGAAAACGGAGAAAACGCAGATATTCACTTTGGCCGGAGTTTTTAAAAAGATCCGTTTTCGTGTGAAAAAACTCAGTTTTCGTGTGGATGACAGGCTAAAACGTAGAAAAATATCTATGTTTTGGCAGATCCCCGGCTACGTGTGGACAGGGCCTAAGATCTTAAAATGTTTGGATTTTTATGTATCCTATTTGCTCTTATTGCTCTACCAACCTCTGTGTTGTTTGTAATGTTTGTATCCCTGTTTTTTTTACTTGAAGTTGTCCTTGGTTTTGAGAAAAGTGCCCTCGAATTAAAGGGGCATTATGGAAGTTTGACAGCCAAAACATGTATAGAAATAATAAATGTCTTCTTCTTACATACTCCTGCAATGCCCGGGTCCTGTAGAATGAGCCCTGGCATTTTTACTGTGATCGCCTGTTTTTCTGTGAAATCACAGAAAAAGAGAGATGCTCGGGTCGAGCAGGCTGCTTCATGCGTGTTCATGCTCAGGCATCGCCCGTAGCATTTGCTATCAGTAGCTTTAGCAGCAGAGAGAGAGGTAGTGCCACTTTGTCAATGTTTTTATTTGAGACTCTCCGAACGGCATTGAATTCAAAGATAAAAAAGATGTGGGTTCAACTTTCATTTTGGAACAATTTTTCAAGCAAGGGAAGGGAATGATCTGAGCATGCAGGAGGACTGACCCATCTTAAACCTTTGTCGGCTGTGCTGAAGAGAAAGCTACAGAACCAAATTATTTAATTAATTAGCTGCACGTTCTCCTGTCCTCTGTCCCCCGGGCCCCCCCCCCCCCACACACACACACACACACACACACACACACACACACACACACACACACACACACACACACACACACACACACACACACACAATGGACTGTCTCAGCTGTTATTTTCGTTAAGGAGTGTGCACGTACAGCATGCGTGCCTCGTGCACGAGCCTCCTATTGAAGCTGCTGTTACACTTTTGGCCTGAGGGGGCAATCACAAGCATAAAAATTCAAAAATCCGTTAAGTCCCTTAAAGTGTATTATTATTATTATTATTATTATTATTAGAGTTGTGGGGAGGGGAGTACAGGGATTGGCCTGGCATATGCCAGTCTTGGAATCTGATTGGCCACCCCAGGAGCCACCTGACTGAGCTCACTGAAGTGGCTCATTAACCACCACAGCAGCTGCAAGAAGAAGAAGAAGAAGAAGAAACAATGTGGAGTTCATGAAATCACTTAAATGAAAGAACTGAATAATTTTGTGCCCCCCCCCCCCCCCCCACACACACACACACAAACAAAAAAGCATGACCATAGGTGCCACCATGCATAAACAAGTGCCCCACCAGGGGCCCCGTATGGAAAGGCTTGGGCACGCCACTGTTAGCCGGACCAAAAACAGAGAAAACATTTGTAACTGAATGACTGCAGAACAGTACTAATGGTGCTTTATTGCATTGTTACTCCTGATAAATCTACTTTCAAATACTCAGCAGTGTCTTACAACCTTTAATATATTTCTTCACGTCACCTCAAAGAAGGCATTAGTTTCCTGACAAAACCTCAATGAGCGGGGAGCTCTCTATCTCTCCCAGACATAAATTACGCCGGGCTTTTTAAAGTTGGTTGCTCAGGAGGTCCCTGTGGGATTCCTGCAACAATGGCCCTGTCACTCCCTCTCTGCGCTCTCCTTCCCTCGGTGTCCTCACCTCTCCTCCTCGCCTCTGATGAGCACTCTGGGATCTTGGCAGCGGTGACACGAGCTTTTATGTGAGAGGGAGCTGACGAATGAGTGTCACAGCCTCGAGGGAGCACAGCTGGACTGACGCCAGAAAATAAAGGAGAAAATACGCAAACACACATGCTCTCTAAAGTCACGTCTATAGCGTGCACCAGCTTCTGCATCCCTTTTGACTGTGTGGATGTGCAACAAGAATATGTGCTTTCATTTTACTGATCAGCAGCTGAAGATTGGATCTGCCTTTTTCAAGATGGAGAAACTAGTTTTCCCAATTGCATTCATCAGTTGGCGCATGTCGTCATGTAAGGAACATCAGATCAAAACTGTAAGGTACCATCTGTTTCTGCAGGGAAAAACATCCTTTGTTGCAGAGATAAGCTTCTTATGAAGTCGCTACATGGAGGTATCAGCCAATTGCTCATCAAAGAGCCATTAAAGGTCTATGACTCACAAATCCCTTAGCTCAGAGCGCTCCTTACAGTCAGTCACTGCAGTTAAAACAAATATAGAATCAGCCTTGTGTCGTTTTACAAGCTTTTCTGTCAGTTCTGTCCTTTTTCAGTGCTTCACTAAACCAAGCCATCTGAATTCTGCTTTTCTTTAATTTTTCTTTAGGGGAGTGCAAGTATGACTTCCAGGCCTGGGGGGAGTGTGATCTGGCGACAGGCAAGAAGAACAGGACGGGGGTTCTGAAGCGAGCACTGATGGACGCGACCTGCGCCGCCACCGTCACGGCAACCAAGCCATGTGGGAAAATCCTAAAGACCAAGCTGCAAGGTGAGAAGAATAAATCGTGGTTTGATAAACCCAAACCCCTCGCTGCACACTTTGAGCTCATCTGCAGCCTCATGGACTTGCTGAAGCCATGCTGATGAATCACAGTGTCTGCAAAACCGTGGCACCAGGGTCTGAAAAGATAATTGAGGTGTACTGCTCAGCATTGATACACTTTTAACCCTTTGATGCATGAATTATGAAATCTTCAACCATGATTTTTTTAACAATTTTTTTCATTCATCTTTAGGTGCGAATGAAACAAATTTCAACAAATATTTTTTGTAAAATTTTATAATGTACAAATAATTTATTACATGTCCACTTCAGTGGGCAGCGTGCATTCTGAACATGAAATATGTTGGCTTGGCTAACTGAAGTCCAAATGGAGGGGCTCAAATGCAATAAAGTCTTCAACAGCTGTGCTTAATAGCAAAAACAAATAAATAACAATTTTGAGTACCTGTCCACTGTAGTGACCATTATGCATCAAAGGGTTAAATAATATACTTAATCAAATGTGACTTGGACATTGCTTGGTGTCTGACTGTACCTGCGGAACCTCCTGCACTGATTTTGTTTTCTTCATCTGCACTGAGGAGGTGTGTCTAATCAACTCTGCTGCCATTGGCTGAATGTGAGCAGGCAGTACAAACAGTCACCACATCATTCTGGAGCAGAAATGACTTTGTGCTCAGACCAAACAGTCTCATGAGTAAGAATTTATCACATAGGAGCAATCATCAAGTTTCAAGAAAAACACACTCATCATACAGAAAATAACAGAAAAAAAATCACTCCTTCATCTTCTAAAACTCTTCATCCTCAGCAGGGTAGTAGTGTCTAACTCCAGCAGTCAGCGGGTGAGAGATGTGGTACACCTTGGACGAGTTTCCAGTCCATCGCGGAGACAAACAACCAGTCACACACTCACACGGAGGGACAAGGAGTGCCCAATCCTGGTAGCCTGGCAAGGCATCCTATATATGTGAAAATAGAGTCCGGCCATGACCCATAAACAGAGCAAAGTCATGGGACAAAATCTAGGGTTGTCTTTCAAACTGTCTCCACATGCCATTGGACAATGAATAATGTGACGTACTCAACACTATGGATGTAAGTCTACGGGTCAGTCTACCACAGACTGTCAATGGAGATGCAAATACCTCCTGTATTGTGTCAGGCAGCACTGAGACATCTACAATTGGTCCAGAATTTGGCAGCCATATTCCAGACAGGGATGAGGAAATCAGCACACATTACTCCTGTGCTGGCTTCATTACACTGGCTCCCTGTAGGTTTTCGGGCTAGATTGAAATTTCTGTGCTATGTCTTCCGGTTTCTTCATGGGAACCCTAATGGAGTGTGACTAAATCGAAACGCAGAGCAAAATCATTTTGCTTCGCCTCCTGTCTGTCTAGATTTCTAGGCTACAATCCTGGTCCTAGAAGCCCACTGTCCAGCATGCTTTAGTTATTTCTGTGCTCCAGTGTATCTGACTCTATAGTTGAATCACCTCTTCAGTAGATCACAAGGTTCTGCAGAAGTCTGTTAATCACCTGCTGGTTAAAATCAGGTGTGTTGGAGCAGAAACACAACTAAAACATGAAGGATAGTGGCCCCTCCAAGAGGCAGGGATCGGTTTTTTTCACCGTTGGGAGGAAAGTGGAACACCTGGACGAAACCCATGTATAGAGGGGAAAAACATGCTCTCCATGGAGAAAAGCTGCAGCTGGGATTTGACCTTCTGACCTTCTTGCTGCAAGGCAACAGTGCTTCCAACCACATTGCCACACAGCCCAGACAAAAATATTCATCATCTATCAGTGAAAAGGACCTCAGATAAGAAAAAAGGTTAAGTAAAAAGTTGCATTAAAATATCATCAGGAAATGTGAAAACAGTTCCAACTGATCCTGTTGCCTCCAAATTATGAGGTTATGTTCCTCTTAAAGATGCTCGAAGTTTGACTGGTTTTCCTCAATCATTGAGATTGTTGTGTTTCAACACTCATCACCCCTGAGGTCATTTAGGGTTCGGGGTCATCTCTCTCTCTCTCTCTCGTGTACACCCAATGGCACCCCCAATTGGTGGCCAGTGGGTGGCAATGGCCACCCCTAGAAAGTTGCTGGCCACCTCTATCAAAATATTCTGACTACACCATGTAGTAGATTTGAGGTGTTTCTCAATGCCAAGGAACCTTGTCTTGATGTTTTCGTTTATTGAGATCCTCATAAGCTTCTGCCTAAATGCAGATGCTAGTCTTCCTGGGGTCTCCTACATTTTCATACAATGTTTACATGATAAGCTACATAAGATGTCTTGGTCCTGCCCCGGTTGCCTAGGAGATACTCATCAAGAACCGCCAAGACGTGTTCCAATGTTCATGTTCTACCGAGGCGTGTGTTCTTCGTTCATTAGCCGTTTAGCTAGCTGAGCAAGGGTACATGGGAGGTGTCTTGTAGCCTAGCCTGATCCCAGAATACACTGAGGTATTTTCAAAAAGATGGCGGATCAGAAGCCGGCAGCTACTTCGGGAGCTAATTTCAAGTATAAATGTCAGTCAACTAATTTAAAATCTTTATTTTTTTTTTTTTTTAGATCCAAAGAAGCTAGCTATTGTTGGTTAGTTGCTTAGTAGATGCAGCTTTGGTGGCTAGCGGACAGTAACTCGCTTACATGTTTAATTTAATAAACATATACACTATTTAAAAAGTTAAATGCTCGTTATACGTTTACATTGAAACATATAAGTATAAAATATAATAGTTATCTCACGTGTCACGTAACGTTACATGACCTCCGTGGAAGCCGCGGTCACGTGATGCAAGTCTGATTCATTGAACCATTTTCTTTGACCAAGGAAGGACAGCATCCTCGTAAGCAAGGCACCTGGCCTCCCATTGAACAAACTGGTTTAAACCAATTGACCTTACATTATTTTCCCATTCGTTTGCTTTTTTTTCTGTTAATTACGTGCAAACGTACAGGTTTTTTTCTCCATCAAGATCTCATGTAACTTTATTTGCTATGAACCTGTTTCCACAAAATCCCTCTCAGCAGGTTCGTCCTTGACAACTTCAGTACCTTCAAGAATGAGCTGGGATGTCACAAACAGCTTGTTTTAGCCACACGATTCCTTAAACCAAAAGAAAACAAATAGATGAGCTATTTTTACGTTTGGAGTGTTTATAGAGGCAGTAAAACCTACATAGCAAAAGGGGAGTTTTCTTAATAGTCCCCCTTTAAACCTTCCTTTGAATGATCAGACTCATCTGTTTCTTTTTAAACTAAAACTCTCCTTCAGTAAAACACCAGAAGAGCTTCAGACTTGATCTGAATCTGTAATTGTTATGTTTATGTTTATTCATTTAGCAGACGCTTTTATCCAAAGCGACCTACAATTTATAACCTATAGGGCATGTTGTGATCTGTGGGGGAAACCGGAGTACCCGGAGGAAAACCACGCATGCATGGGGAGAACACGCAACTCCACGCAGAAAGGCCCCAGCCGAGTTTTGAACTTGCGACCTTCGTGCTGCGAGGCAACAGTGCTAACCACTGCGCCACCATGCAGCCCAGCCCAATTGTAAACATCTAAATAAATCTCCTACTCATTAACTCATTCACTAAAGTCATTTGCATTTTTTTACTGTTTGGTCATCGGAACGAGCCCCCGCGCTGAGAGAACAACCATCTCAGCTCTGAAGCTGATCTTCAGCCGCATACGTCACACATCACGTGATCAGGAAGCAGAAAATCTGTGTGTTAGGAGATCGTTTTGGGCCGCCGCTGTAAAAAAAAGTGAGGCTTGAACCGGAGAAGCTTCTGCCGATCACTATTCAACAACGGATTATGAAAGAACGGATAAAGCTAAAAACTCGCGGATTCTTCCTGAAGTAAGAGGCGAGTCTCCGCTTTGTTTAGGTTGTTTTGGTGTCGACATCTTCCTAGCGCGCAACGTTCTGTGACTCTTAAAAAAACAGTAAAAATGGCGAGAAACACTGGCAGCGAAGGCCTGTAGCGATCAGGAAACGGCTGGCAGTGAATGAGTTAAGGCAATTAAGTGGCTGCTTAATTGCACAGACCAGTAACTACAGGTGATTGATTTGTTCAGACATATGGAACTTATTCAGATTTTCCTGTTTTAGTTATTTGCATCCAACAAATCTAATTCTGGGGAAGAACTCAGGAAAACATAAACTAAACTAAATTCCCCTCCTATGCTTTTGTTCCTGTAATGTTCGACAGATTTACTGGAACAGATCCTCCTCCATCCCTAAAGTAGCACTGGGGCCTTTTTGGGGGCTAGTTTGAAAGCCGGGAAGATTTCCTTTTAGCTTCTACAGAAAAGTTGGTTTGGATCAAACGCACGGCTCCAGCAGAAACAAGCCTACGATTTACGAGAAGAAACATTCCAGGGCTTTTTCACTCTGTCAGGTCATTGTAAACAGTCCATTTTAATATAAGATCAGGAACTTTTCTGTATTTATTAGAGCTGAAGGGATGTTTACCACACGGATGCCTTTGTTTCTTCTGCAAAGCTTTCTGTTGACAACACGCAGGTTAGGACCAGAGCTGAATTTTGTTTTGATTAGAGTGAATTAGCATCATCATACGTATGAAAGTGCATAAGTGAATGAACTTTTATCAACTTTCTCATAATTACCAGATTCTTGTCTTGTCTCATGGCACATCTCCAGCTGATTGCATCTGTGCTGAATCCAACAAACCCTTGCAAATGATTTCATCTCATGCAATGTCATCCGTGATTTGCTCTCACATTCGATTCGCCATCAGCTTGAGGGAAATCCTCCTACTTAAGTGTGCAGCTGAAGGTGAGTGACGGTGTTAAAGCCGAGCTGGGATGGCTAACCAACATTTAGGCTGTGATTACAGGCTTTTCGCTTTTCTCAGACGTGTCAAAGCCACTGAACTCTGTAAGAGCGTTAGCTTAAACTGAGTAGTGTCAGAAAACTTAAGTAACCAAAAATATTGACCCGGT